ATACGCTTTGCGATAAAATACACCCCACTCCCCCGCCCCCACAAACTGACATGTTGACAAGCTATGAGACATTAAACATGGTAGTGTCAGTGGATCGGGCATTCCTCCTGTCATTATTAACAGCACTTCACTGGTAAATCTGGCTCAGGTTTTGTGTTGAGATTTGCTTTCCAGGAAAAGGATGCTATATGACAAATAAGATGGAGCCCCACCACCCGTGATAATACAAAGTGAGGACAGCAGGTGCATTTGGTACCCCCAGGCACCTGTCAGCTCCAAGTTGTGGACTGTGCAGGAGAGGGTAATTGCAAAAGAGATAAATTGCACCTTCAGCTGTGGGGCGGAACACATCGACGTCTTAAGGGTACTCCTGAACTTTATTACTTGTAGAACAACAACAGAACATCTCATCTGCCCAAGAAGCATCACCTCCGGAGGCAGAGGGGAGCCAGGGGTGTCTGGGCTGATAATTAGTTTGCCAACCAACAGCTGCATAGCATAGCTGACCTCCTTGTAGTGAATTAAGATATACAGGGGATTGGAGTACAGTCTCAGCGTTTTTATATGCTGTTGCCTTTTTCACTTCCTATCCCTTTCTTAGCCACTGTCAAACTGCTGAATCACAATACAGAGCCAAAATCCAAAAAGTCTGTCTTAGTTATCTCTCGTTTTCAGTGTCTTTCTATTAGCCAACTCCGTGGTCCAAAACGTTCACGACAAAGATGTATGGACTTCCATTTATTACCTAGATCTTTTTGTGGTGTGATCAGCGTATCTGCCACCAGAATGGCAATTCCAATGGCAAATTTGTGAGCAAATCAGGATCATTAGTTCATTCAGGAGGTTTTTGGCCCATCAATAGAAATTTCCATGCTGTTGCTAATGCTGAAACCAAAGAATAACCATGTCCAGCTATTAGCGATTTGCTCTAGCATGAATTGTAAAACATTATTACCCCTTTCTTCCCCAGTCAAATCATCTTAGCAAAGCTTTGTTATGGCCTGTTCATAGGTAGTTCAAGCAATATTATCACTATTACAGTATTCTTAGGAAGGTAAAAGCACCATCGGCGGTGTTCAGGGAAAACAAAAGGGTTCAACAGTTGCTAGAATGTTTCCACTGGCACTGCAAGTAGGATCACAAGGAAATCAAAATCACTAGACCAAATTCCTTTTGATACTGTGTGCAAGTTGAAGAGGAAATATTATGAAAGCCTAAGAGGAGTTTCTTTTACTGTACCATCCAGAAGCATTATTTCAACTGACAGTCATTCACAAGTTTCCTACCGGCTAAATATTTTGCAGATAGAGTTAAAGAGACAGAGGTCTCAAATGTATTCTGATTCTGCTTATGCAGCCTGGGAAAGGAATTTTCCACTTTGTACTGCTGAGAAAAATGTAGATGCTGTAGGCTATGGTATCATGTTCAGAGGAACAAGGTGGGTAGGATAGGGCATTAGGCGCTATTATACTCTAGGGAAGAAAGAGCAGACAGGGGCACAATGGAAGCGCTTCATTATATTTTAAATGGGAATAGTTCCAAGGATAGGAAAGCCTGTGGTGCCTGTAAAGGATTAAGCAGGGTAATGTGCTTTTTAAGAAGACATAAAGAGGTATGTAATGTGATATGTTTAAGCCTAAATGATTTTTCTTGGAGTCCTCAATGAATGCTTAAGCAGGCATGACTTAGGCCTCTGTAAATCCTCTCCAAATAAATAGTTTCCGTGAAAATAGAGAATCCTTTGACAGAATGAGATGCATATTTCATAACCTATGCAAAAAAGGGAAAATCAATTTGAGATACACGAAACACTTAGGAATAATAAAGAAAAAAAGAAGATAAAAGTGAATATTCTCCAGAATAATCCAAGCATATACAGGAATACAGTTAGCTCCCCATCCATTTTGATTTGACAGAGCAGGAAGACAAACAACTGAATGCTTCCCTACCTTCAATTCAGATCTTCAACTGCTTTTTGTTGCCTTTTGAGAAAGGAAGAGACAATAAAGTGGCAGAAAATATCTAAAGTGCCTGCGCTTTTCAGGCTGTCTCCTGTTTGAAGTATTTAAAACTCTGCTCTCTCTTCAGGGTAAATCTACCCAGCTGCTCTCTAACCAGACCTGATGGTGTATATGTTCACTATGGATGCAATAGGAGCACACACAGTGATATGTATGCACCTGATTTATGAGAAGAACAGGACAAATAAATACCAAAGCCTGAAATCTTACAACAGCGTGATCTTCCCATCTTATTTCTCTCGCCTGCCCTGGCCTCCTGCCAGGAAAAGCAGGTCAAGGCAGTAGATTGCCTGATGCAAAATGGGACTATGCAATCATTGTCATTTGGCTGTATTGTATTTTCACTCACACAGGTGCCATTCCCCATGAAGTCACTGGTACAGCAAGTGTGCAGTCCTGCTGAGCGAGCGGGATGATGCGATGAGTAAACCAGTGGTTGATTCCCCTCCCTTTCCCTCTGTTTGTATATAGGTTAGTACGAAACTACTACTTTCCTCAAAATAAAAGGAGCACCAACTCCGCTGTAATTTGCAGAATAAAAGCATGACAAAACTAAAGGACTTTTAAGATATAACAAAAATGTTTGGCAACACCTTTTCCACGTGGCTACTTGGAAGCCCCATTTAATCTCAGAGATTAAAGTGTTGTTAAAGAAGAGCACGTCCATCACTTCCATAACATCTGTCCTGTACACCTGTCTTCCACGGTGGTCCCTCCTATCACAGTCCCATCACGGTCATTAGGCAGCCTAGTGGAAATCCCATTCCCCGTACCCATTTGGAAGCACTCTTTAAATCTCAGCCTTCACTTGTCACTCCAGGAACACGTGCTGAGGTAACGGCCTCGGAGAGCTTGGACAAACTGCTCTTCAGTCATGCTTTAGTGCTGATTGATGGTAGAAACAAAATGAAGCGCAGCGGGAGACCTGCAGTCTTAGCTTGTCCAGGGTTATAATCTGGTTGAGTTAATAGCTCTGATGTGGTTAGCTAAATTTGTTCAAGACCCTGAAGAACATTACAAAGTACATAAATAGGCTGAGGGGACCCATGAATTCTTTCCTCTGAAATGTTTTCATTTTTTGGGAGTACTTTACAGAGATTATAATCTCTGTCTCTTATCAGTTGCCCTTTTAAATATTAATTTTCTTTGCCTAAGACTAGCTTTTAACATCACGTTCTTCATCCAGATTTTTTCCTGAGCAGGTCAAATACAATCTCCCCAAAGCTTCTGTGTGAACAGGAATTGGCGAATAATCTTTTTCTGTGTCATTTCTTCCTGTAAAGTGAAAGGAGAGAAACTGCGCACACATAGGTGGATGCGTATGTTCATTAGAATCGGGCCGGGGCCCTTTGATATTTTAAAATTGGAGGGTGCTTCGCTTGCTCACATGCTGCAATTTGGTTTTTCAACACTGCCATTTGCAAGTGCCTGTTCCTGGGAAGCAGAGGCATGGGAAATCAAAGAACCCAGATATTTCTGTTTTTGTAGGTTTTAAGACAGCAACTGCCATGTTTCCAGGAATGAGAAATCAGACTGTAATCTGGAATTACCTGCCAGCATGATACACTGGTGGTTTTTTTACAGCTAAACGCCATTAGTCAACACAGCTGTGTCTGATGTGCTCTGGTTTTTGATTCTTCTGAAACCTTCAGTATAACTTGGGAAGGCAAACCAGAAGGAGGGAAGCCATTTTTTTTTACACAAAAGGAAAAACCCAGCTTTATCAGCCCCTTACAAACCGAGCTAAAATATGTTTTCTCAAAAAAACCAATTTCCTCTAGCCAATAAATCTTCAGACTGTCTTTTTTTTTCTTGCTGTTTTCAGCTTACGACTTTTTCTAAAGGGGTTTCAAAAGTGCAGGTCCCCAGGGCCTCTCTTGCCTCTTCTTTCATGCTGTTTAGTCCTTCAGAGGAGAAAATATGATCTCATGTAGAGATTAGTGATTTTTAAAACTCCAAAGAATCTTTGTTATTTTGTGGTTCTTTTATTATCAAGAGATCACGAGTGATTTCATCATTCTTTTTAGCATACTCTTTTCTCTCATGTGTTTGTATCCGGTGTGAAAACACCAGAAATTAGAGTTTTTCCTGTCAAATGGATTTTGGTGGACACAAAAGACAGAGTTTGTCTGGATCTTTAGAAGTCTCTAAACCAAGCTTAAAACACACAAATTCATGGATATTTGCTCCAATTAACATTCACATTTTGAAGTTTAAAATAAAAATCTATCAAGTATGATGTTTCTCAGATTTGATTTAAAACTCTGAATATGAAGATACAATGGTAGGGATAAAGTCTGTATACAGTCACTCATTAACCCATATGCACTCTCATACTGAATCCTTTCACGTATTACTGTTATTATAAAAGCCATGGCTGCTAACCAAAAACATGGGAGGGAACTATTGCGTTCACAAATGTACCTATAAAAATTAACTCCTGCTCTCAAAGTATTTTCTCAATGCTAAACTCACTACAGAAGGCAGCTGAGAGACGCGTCTTTAAAGCCAGATCATCTTTTTCTGCCTGCCTCTCTCAAAACATATACAATTCAGAGCTACAGCTGAAAGACAAGGTTTTCAGTGTCAGGAGTCTACAAAAATAAGTTAATCAATGTCTTGTATTCAAAGTGCTTTAAGCCTTGCGCAGTACGTTGCCACGTGTTCTGGGGTTATAAGTCCTGTGATCCTATTCCCATTTTGCTCCCTGACAAATGCATTCATCTCTCATACCTATAAATCCTTGTCAGAGCAAACACTGTAGGTACTTACATTTTAAAATGTGATTGAAAACAAGCTACGTAGCGGAGAAGTCCTAATCCTCCATGCCAATGCAATGGGCTTGCAGAAATTGGTACCAGGCATGACCACTACCTGGGTGCAAATGCATCCCTTATAGTTAAAAGCAACAACTACGCAAATGTGGTGTTACAGCAGAGCATCTCCAAGGGGAAGCAAAAAAGTTAGTCACACCAGTACCTTTTGAATGCCCGCGGTTGATTCCATGACGTTGTTCTCCGAGCCGTTACTTCTGTTAATCATCCGCCACATTTGGGAATACATGCTGTCCCTCTCAAAAGGATTCATCCCTTTCACTCGGACGTGCTCATAGACTGCGGAGTCCAAGACAGTGCCATAAGGAATATCCGTCTGCCTTGAGAGATCCTGGAGAGACCTTAATTGGTGGTGAAGAAAAGAGACACAGGAGACTTGAAGCCACATTTTCAAGAGGAAGGAGCTGCAGGCAAGCAAAGGGCAACACATAGGAAGATGGCTGTCAAGCCAGTTTCTTGTTGTTTTATTTTTTTTTCTTTTTTCTTAAAAGACAAAGTTAGAGTGAAAATTTGTTTTTATGGTTTAAGACACACGGAGGAATATGAAGTGAAAGGAAAAGGTGGGAAAAATGAAAATGGATGAAAAGAGAACACCAGAAAGGGTAAGAGGATCCTGTCAAATGCCGAGAGCTCCTTTGAGCAGAGGCAGAGGAGAGAAGGGAGCACTGCAGTCCCTCCAGCCACACACAGCAAGTTCCACAGAGTAACTGCCGACAACAGTACGGTGCCACCGCACGCCTCCACCCTGCTGCTGTGGAGCTGGAGTGTCAGCATCAGAACTCACTGAATCTAGCCCAAAGCACCTGGGCTGGGTGCTTCTATGTGCTACTGGGTTACACAGTGAAGAGCAGCTTTTTGGTGGTATTCCTGTGCTGAACTGTGCACCCATCACACCAAGCAGGTCACATCCTACATAATTACCAGCAATAGGAAGATTTCTGTTGTGGTTTCCTGAACTGTCTTCTCATCACGGTTCATGTAATTTAGGCCAATAATTTTGCTCTACCTTACATATTATCTATATCTAGTCTTATCTGTTCCCTAGAAGCAGGAAAAATTAACCAGTTTAGGAGTTTCTAAAGCATCCCAAAATATGGCTTTGTCAACCCCGCTTTGGACTTAAAAAGGTATATTAGAACCCTTTGAAGTATCCTTACCTCTTGGCCTTTATTTTCATATCCTATAGAATTGCTCTCCCATACCTTTGTTTCTTTAATGGCACTCATTAAAGTTTCAAAATAACTACTGCAATATCTCTAGTGCCTAAAACCTGTTACAGCTTTCCCAGCACAAATTAACTTTGTATAAACTGCACAAATCTAGTGGGTGACATCTAAGGACAAATCAAGGATGTGAGTGCTGTCTTAAAGTAAGCAATAGCAAGTTGTAAAAGCTCATCTCAGCCACAGAAAATATAAACATAAATGTAGGAAACTCATCAAATTCCAAGTTGTGTTTCTGAAACATGTAAATACAGAGGCGAGTGAAAATGGCCCTACGAGGGGAAAAAAAGAATTCTTAGGTGTTCCAGGGATGGCACTGAAAAAAACAGTAATTGGATCTCAAAGGATATGTATGCCTCTGAACACAAAAGAAAGCAGGAAAAGACAAAATCAATAGAGCTCAATGGCAAGGGTTTAGAGGTTAGTTGAGTCAAAAATAAATCCTTTGGAATTCAGACATATAGGTTTAGAAAAACATTGAATAAGAGCTAAATTTTAAGGCGATAATATACAGCAAATATAAGGAAGGGATAAATTTAATTTCGAAGAGTAAATAACTAATGGTATTAAGAACCCCACAATCTTCTCCTCTTTCTCCAACAAGATGGCATTCCTCTTCAAGAGCATAAGCATCAGGGAACCTGCAAAGGATCAGTACTCATATGGGATCATCAAGGGTGAGCTGCTAGGTGAAGTTTTTCCCGAATCCAAGTACATTGGTTTTCTATGAAAAGACTAGCTGAGACCTGCCCTTTTCTAGGAAGAAAAATGTGAGACGCTAGTAGACTAAGGTATCAGGAGAATAAGTACTGTGGATAATTTAATTGAAAAGTAAGAAAAAAAATATAAAATAACAAGTCCAGATAGACACCTATGAGTTCTGAAAGATTAAATGAGAAATGGCTGAGCTGTTAGGAAAACTGGGAAACCTCATTAAGGCCAGGGTGTGAAAGGGAAACTAAATCTTTTTAAAAGGCTCTAATGGTAATCAGAGGAAATATGAAAGTAAACAACTAAGATGTTACATTTAGGTTTAATAAATAAACTGAAATAAGAATGGATATAATTTTAAAGATCAGTCCTGAAGATTAGACATAGCCACTAAGTGGGTTTCTCCAGGGAAAGCAATTTGATCATCTATTACACTTTGGAATTATCAAAAAACCCCAGGACTTTCAAAAGGCCTTCATTCCATCAAACAATATACAGAAGGTGGGAGTATGGACAGGCTAAAAAGAAGGAACTGAGAAACATTTCCTGGCAACTCTGGATAGCATTAGGAAAGCCAACACTCAGGTAGAGCGGATGGTCTCAAGGGACCTCAAAGGTAACAAGAACGGCTTTTGCGGAACCAAAAGGCTGAACAAGGAAAGTATGGACCTGTTGAGGGGGACAGCAGACACAGCTAAAGCTGAGGTGCTCTGTGCCTTCTTCGCCTCACTCTTCCCCAACAAGGTCTCCCAGCTCTCTGTGACTAGAGGCAGTGCTCAAGGAGGCAATGAAAAACCAGCAGCAGGTAGCCAGGTAAATCCCAACCAGAAAGGCAGGGATTGAGAACACTAGACCCACAGAAGTCCATGGGACCTGGCAGGCTGCATCGAAGTGTGCTGAGAGAGCTGTCCAATGTCCTTGCAAGGATGCTTCCTTTAATTTTTGAAAGATGGAGATTGGAGGAGATACCTGACCACTGGAGAAAGGAAATGTCTGTACACTATATTCAAAAAGATAAAAAAGATGATTCATGGGATTAAGGCTGGTCATCCAACATCATGGAGCAAGTCCTCTCAGAGCGTATTTCTAAGTATATGAAGGAGAAGCTGACTGGGAACAGTCAACATCAATTTACCAAAGGTAAGTCATGCCTGACTAATCTGGTTGCCGTTTGAAGTAAAATGACGTGGTTTGTGGACAGACCAGAGAAACGGATGTAGTTTACTTTAACATTAGCAAGGCTTTCGATATTGTCTCCCACCACATTCTTGTATCCAAAATGAGTGATTAGGTCTGGCTGGGTGGGAAACCAGATGGATAAATTCCTGGTTGGATAATCAGAACTCACAGGGTAGCTCACCCGGAGGCTGGTAACAGGTACCACAGAGGTCTAACCTGGGACATATCTTTACCAATAACCTGGCGGAGGTGAGTAAGGCACTCTTTTGTCAAGTTTGCAGATGACATGACGCTGGGGAAACCAGCTGGTTGCTCAAGGACAGCCTGCCATTCAGGGAGATCTAGAAAGGCTGGAGGAATAGGCCAACAGGAGCGGTGTAAAATTCAGCAAGGTCAAATGCAAAGCCCCGCACCTGCGGAGGATTAACCCCCCACAACAACCTGGGCTGGAGCGCAGCTCTGCAGAAAGCCACTCTAGTAGACAGTGGTGGGCCTCGGTGAGAACTCTCACCATTAGGCAACGTGTTGCGTAGAAGTAGGTGTATTACTGTTGCATTGACAGTCTATATATCTGTCAAAAGCATCACTGACGAAAGGCACTAGATAAATACAAGAAACTATATTCACTCATTCTGTGTGACTGCCGTTGCTGCTGTTGCCAATACACTTCTGTATCTCCCGGCAGTGCTCAGAAGCGCAACAAACTGTCACAGGATGCATATTGTAATGTCCTGTAATTGCTGTGTTATTTGTCATACATATTGCTAGAAAAGTACACAAAAAGTATTTACTGAGTCTCCAATTTCTACTGACAACACCTAGCAAAATTGCAATCATTACTTTACAAGACTCTGTATAGCCATATAATTTCTAATATAACAAGCAACAAAGCATTTTTCTGAAATATCATTGCTGGCTGGTATATAAATGATATGTGTAGCTGCTGCCACGAAACAGTACAGTTAGAAACAGCACAAGAGGAAAACAGCTCCTCTGTATATCTTGTGGCTATAAAAGCAATCTTGCTATTTTCAGAAAGGCAAACTGAAACAAGACACAAGCTGTTGGTCCAGAAGCGTACTACAATCAGGTGTGGGAAGTGTACTACAAACAGCCTGAGAAGCAAGCAAGAGTGCCATCACGCACAAAGGCATCACCAGCAGGGATTTAACAAGGAGGAGAATTACATCGATGCCTTCAGGAAGGCACGTTGTCGCTGCCAAGCCTGGCACTAACTACAGCCTGCAGTTCTTTACTGTTTGGTGCGCTAACCTAAAACCCAGGGTGCCTCTCAGCTGCCCTGCTCTGCATCTTTGCACAGTTGTAGGGGCTGCTTTATGCTGAGAAAACGATGGCGACAGGACAAGAGCAAGACACGTATGAGTGTAAACTCTACGGATGTGCTAAATGCTGTTGTCAGCAGTAAACCCCAAGCTTTGGGTCACCCGGCCCTGCGCTGAGGAGGAAGAGAGAAGTTTTGCAGCCTCTGAGGTGCCCACGTGTGTACGCTGCTGTGTAGGCAAGCTGCAAAAATGGAAAAGACCTATCACATTGGTGACTTCATCCTCTCACACAAACATGTCAAATGGGATCATAATATATATGACCTCCTTGAGAAATTGTTTTTTATAACCTGCAACTCTGCAGACTACTGGAATAGACACTCGCAACCCAGCAGCAAAACAAAGAGAAATGACAAACCTTGACAGAACGAATAAAATTATTAAGCCATTGAGGTTCCTTTCCAGAAGAAAGAATTTTTATAACTACTTTGCCTCCAGTCTGGTTTGTAGGTTACACATTGTTCAATGTACTTTTATTCCTGGATTAAACAACTCATTCTCTGTTCAGACAAATACATTTAGTGGAGACATAAATCCCCAACCTCACTGTGTCACCCAGTCTCACCACACAGCTGCCACACCAGATCGCAAAATAAGGAGAAAAGTATTTGTCAAACTGATTAATTCCTATGGGGTATACTTCGAAGCCCAAATTCCGATACTGTCATCCACACCGGAAAGGAATTTTGTGATAGTTTTACTGATCTCAGTTGAAATACCTGCAAAGCACACATTAAACGTGAGGGAATTATAATCTCACATTTTAAAACATTTATCTCTCTGAATTTCTAACTTTCAAGAAATAAGGCAATGAATGCTAAAAGTCTTTAAAAATAAAAAAGCATATATAGTTGAAAAATTGTTATAAAATAAAACACCTTTAAT